ACAAACAAACAAATAAAAAGAAAAAAATTATTGTTTGGAAAACCGACACCAATACTTAATGGGTTGAAATATCAATTTACTGTTTCTTCTGGTATTGGACTGACTGAGCAATTCTTGGCTAAGCAATTCTTTTGCTTCAGTAACATTTGTTATTTTTTCCCCCTGTGGTGACAGTTCAGCTGGTAAGTATGAGGTCACTCGCAGTACTATAGAGAATAGTTTCACTGTTGTATAGATAACTCTGCCTATACATCCTTGTCTCCTGTTCGAAGATCCCTGGCAACAGATATCTTTTTACTGAGTCTATACTTTTACGTTTTTTTTTTCTTTTTTTGACTGTCAGGTGACTAGAATTACACAGGACAGCTTTTGCAGACTAGCTTCTTTCACTTAGCAAGGAATGTGTTTCTCTTTTTCCTTTTGTTGGCATTTGGTGGCATAAACAGGCTAAAGATAGACCTAACTTTATCCTCAGGGCCATCTCCCTCTTGGGATTTCCTTCAGGCATTGTGTTTGAAAGGCGTTTGAATAAATTTCGTGAGTAACCCAGACAGGATGAGAAAATAAACAGACAATTGTGCCAGCCATTGCATGTATCTGGCTAAATTCTGAAAAACAGCTGTGGTAGATTGTTAAAGTAATTGTCCCTAATGAATCATGCCTCTTAGGATCTGCCTGCTTTAATGGTTCCCTCCCTCTTCAGCTCTTGGCTAAGTAACTTGATTTGGCCACTGAAACATTAGCAAATGTGACACAAACAGAAGCTTGAAAAGCCCTTGTGAATTGGGGCTGTCCTCTTGCTTCTGGGAAGCCTGTGTGCCACATATGAAAGACATGAGGCTTGCCACTCTGCAAAGGAGAGGCCACACTGAGGGAGAGACAGACCTGCTGACAGTCAGCATTGACTACCCCACTCATGAGTGAGGACATTCACCCAGCTCCAGCTGAGCTAGTGCATTCCTATAGCCACTTGAGTGACCCAAGGCAGTGTAGACCAAATTCTTACCCATTTCCCAAGTGCCTGTGAGCATTATAGACTGGTTTTTCACTGCCACTAAATTTTCCTCTCTTTGAGACAATGTCTTGCCTAGACTTACCTTGAACCCACAGTCATTGCTGTAGCTTCTCAAGTACAGGCACACTCAGCTTCTGCCTCTAGGTTTTGAGGTAGTGTGTTAATACTGCAGTAACTGGTCACTGCAATAGCCATTTGCAGTACACATTTGAGTTACCTATTATGGGCTATTTATGCCTGTAAATGTGCTGCCAGGACTTGCCCGAGTATAAAGAGTGGTTTAAACACACTGAGAGAACCCAACAAAACATTATTTTGAAACTGAGAATAATCTTAAAGATATCTCAGGTGCGTGTGTGTGTGTGTGTGTGTGTGTGTGTGTGTGTGTGTGTGTGCGTGTGGCTTTGAAACCCTGGGCCTCATGTATGCTAGGCCAGGGCCTCACCACTGAACTACACCACAGCCTCGTCTCTGTTTTCACAGATGCATCTTAAAAAGCCCCAAAGTATAAAGGGACAACTGGAGATTGCTTAGATTAGAGTAGAAGCTGGATGAGAAGCTAGGTTTCCTAATCCAGTTGATGGCCTTAATCACTCCCCAGGCTGTTTTGTTGTCTCCCATGCATGCCGAGGGCGTTGGAAACCAGGAATTTGTGGGAAGTTAACTTCTTTTAGTGGCACTCAACATTTTTTATTCTTCACTTGTTTGTCAAAGGGTATAGAGCAAGATGTGAGGGTTGTGAGACAGCTGGGGGGACCTGGAGGGGCTGGGGACGATCAGCTGGGTTTACTGTGTTGAACCAGGAAGATCCAGTGCCAAGTGAAGCCTAGCTTTTGCTAGGAGGGAGGTCAGTGAAAAAAATAGTCTTGGAAGCTGAAAAGGAGGAATGTGAACATTTGAAAAAAATATCTACCTCATTGCTCAGCAAACTCTGAGACTACCCTCCATGCTGGTGGATAAAACCCAAACACTGGCAGATTTTCTTCTCATCACAGTCAGACCTGAGTACTCGAGATAACTTAATATACTGCAATAATGCAATTAAGCAGGCTCCTCAGGCCCAGCTTTCAGTCTAACTCACTTTAACAAATAGAATTTGGGTGACATCATGAAAAACAACATTCTTCTTGTGAGTGGATGTAGATTACAAGAAAAATGATCACATGGCTTAGCCTTGGCAAGTAGAGAGAAAGCACTAAATTTGGCCCTTAAGAAAATGTGTTCTATAAATGTTTGGTGCTAACACAAGTGACAGGGTTTGTTTAAAACCCTCTGAGTGTGTGTGTGTGTCTCTGTGTGTGTGTGTGTATGCAAATGCACTTTTGTATGCATCTGCATATGGCTTCAACTTTGACCATCACTTCTAAGTTCAATGTATAGATGACAGTCCCCTATGAATGCAACATTATATATGGTCTAAAACTTTTAGTTCACATACAAATGGCAAAAACCAAGATTGAAAAATGGGCATTGCTACAGCTGGGATACAAAGTGAATAAACTGTAATGAATAATAAATAAATAAATTTAAAAAAAAAAGAAGCAACAACAACAACAAAAGATTAGGCTGAATTATAGCCCATGGCAGCTCAGTCTTCAAATGGGTACCCTAGTAAGGGGAACAGGGGCTGTCTCTAACATGAACTCAGTGGTTAGCTCTTTGATCACCTCCCCCTAAGGGGGAGGCAGCCTTGCCAGGCCACAGAAGAAGACAATGCAGACAGTCTTGATGAGACCTGATAAGCTAGGGTCATATAGAAGGTGAGGAGGACCTCCCCTATCAGTGGACTTGGGGAGGGGCATGGGAGGAGAAGAGGGAAGGAGGGTGGGATTAGGAGGGGATGAGGGAGGGGGGCTACAGCTAGGCTACAAGGTGAATAAATTGTAATAAATAAAAGAATAAATTATAAAAAATAAAAAGAGTAGGTTGAAAAAAAAAAGAAAAATAGGCATTGATGTATTCAAGGTCACACAACACATCTATGACAAAACCTAGCCAGAACATAAGTGTCCAGGGAGTGCCTCATCCTCCCTACTTCCCTTTTGCTCAACACAACTTTAGCCATACCTCTATAAAAAGTTATCTTTTCCTGGTTGCAGCACACACTTGTAATCCCAGCCCACAGCAGGCTGAGACCAGCCTGGGCTACATAGGAAAAATGTGTCTCAAAAACTCCAAAAAGAACAGAATCAAACAAAAACCAAACAAAAAATGTATTCTTTTATTTTTTCTTTCTTCTTTTCTTTTCTTTTTTTTTTTTTTTTGCTTCCAGTGGTAGCTTTTGTCTGTTTTCCTTGAAATAATGTCTTTCACCATAGCAACAAGGATTGTCTGGAACAGCCAGGCAGGACTTCCTGCCTGGAAGTGAAGGGAGGGAGATACCAATTCACGCATAAAACCTTTGGCCCAAAATTTACCCTGCCTACAAGATGTTCAGGAATAAAGATAGTGCAGAGATTGAGGGAATGTCCAACCAATGCTTGGCCCAACCTGAGACCCACCCCATGGGAGAGGGCCAACCCCTGACACTATTAATGATACTCTGCTATGCTCGCAGACAGGAGCCTAGCATAACTGTCCTCTGAGAGGCTCCACCCAGCAGCGGATTGAAACAAATGCTGAAACCCACAGCCAAACATTAGGTGGAGCTCATGGAGTCTTGTGGAAGAGTGGGAGGAAGGATAGAAGGTCCCAGAGGGAATATAACTTCACAAGAAGACCAACAAAGTCAACTAACCAAGGTTCATAGGGTCGCATATAGACTGGACTACCAACCAAACAGCATGCATGGACTGGACCTAAGTCCCCTACACATATGAGGCTGGTGGCAGCTTGGTCTCCATGAGGGTTCCCTAACAATTAGAGTGGGGACTGTCTGTGATGTAGACTCTTTTGTTTGTTTGTTTTTTAATTCTTTATTAATTACACTTTATTCACTTTGTATCCCCCCTGTGGTTCCCTCCCTCCTCCCGTCCCAATCCCTCCCTTCCTCCACCCTCTGCATGCATGCCCCTCCCCAAGTCCACTGATAGGGGAGGTCTTCTTTTACTTCCTTCTGATCCTAGTCAATTAGGTTGCATCAGGAGTGGCTTCGTTGTCTTCTTCTGTGGCCTGATAATGCTGCTTCCCCCTCAGGGGGAAGTAATTAAAGAGCAGGCAGAGAATTCTCAATAGAGGAATATCAAATGGCAGAGAAACACTTAAAGAAATGCTCAACGTCATTAGCCATTAGGGAAATGCAAATCAAAACAACCCTGAGATTTCACCTTACACCCATCAGAATGGCCAAGATCAAAAACTCAAGAGACAACACATGATGGAGAGGTTGTGGAGAAAGGGGAACCCTCCTCCACTGCTGGTGGGAATGTAAACTTGTACAACCACTCTGGAAATCAATCTGGCGCTTTCTCAGACAACTAGGAATAGCCTTCCTCAAGACCCAGCCATACCACTCTTAGGCATATACCCAAAAGAGGCTCAATACACAATAAGGACATTTGCTCAACCATGTTTGTAGCAGCCTTATTTGTAATAGCCAGGAGCTGGAAACAACCCAGATGCCCCTCAAATGAAGAATGGATACAGAAATTGTGGTATATCTACACAATGGAATATTACTCAGCAATAAAAAACAAGGAAATCATGAAATTTGCAAGTAAATGGTAGGATCTGGAAAAGATCATCCTAAGTGAGCTATCCCAGAAGCAGAAAGATGCACACGGTATATACTCACTCATATAGACATATAATATAGGCTAAACCTACTAAAATCTGTACACCTAAAGAAACTAATCAAGAGGGAGGACTCTTGCTAAAATGCTCAATTCCTATCCAGAAAGGCAAAGAGGATGGACATCAGAAGAAAGAGAAAAGAGGGAACAAGTCAGGAGCCTGACACAGAGGACCTCTGAAAGGGTCTGCCCTGCAGACTATCAATGCAGATGCTGAGGCTTATAGGCAACCTTTGGGCAGAGTGCAGGGAATCTTTTTTTTTTTTTTTGACTTTCCAGAACGTTTAATAGTTAAATGCAGAGGACTGGTTCATTTCAGCTCCTTCACTGCCAAACCAGGGGGTAGGGACTGCTTCAGCTTCTCTGCCTTCTCCTTGTCTGTGATGACCAGGGTGTAAAGGTACCTGCTGCAGCGAACCTTGAACTTCACATTATCCTTGTTCTTCTTGATCTTCACAGATTTGGCATCCTTCCGCCGGGCTGTGAGTAGAAAGTCCTTTATTTCCTCAATTTTCTGAGGCATGGTGACAGGCACTCAGTGCTGGCGACTGCACAGTGGTAAGAACCGATGACAACCGAGTGCAGGGAATCTTATGAAAGAAGTGGGAAACAGTAAGATCTGGAGAGGACAGGAACTCCACAAGGAGAGCAACAGAACCAAAAAATCTGAACACAGGGGTCTTTCCTGAGACTCATATTCCAAACAAGGACTATGCATGGAGATAACCTAAAACCCCTGCACAGATGTAGCCCATGGCAGTTCAGTATCCAAGTGGGTTCCACTGTAATAGGAACAGGGACTGTCTCTGACGTGGACTCTTGTTGCCTGCTTTTGGATAATTTTCTCCTAGCTGGGATGCCTTAATGGGCCTCTGTGGAAGAGGATGCACTTAGTCCTGATATGAGGTGATATGTTGGGGAGGTTCCCTTTTTCTGAGGAGAAGGGGAGGGGAAAAGGGTAAAGAAGATGGGAGGATGGGACAAGGAGGAGAGGAGGGAGGTGGATGTGATTAGGATGTAAAGTGAATAAATAAAAAAAATTTAAAAAAGGATTGTCTGGAGCCCAAAGTTAGCTTGTACTTAGCTGAAAAAGTTTCCACTACCTAGTAGAGGCTGCAGGTTGGCAGTGCAACAGTCTGTGTTTGGTATAAAAGGTCATGTGATGACAGGACCCAAATATAATCATTTGCTTTGACAGAGGCAGAAAAGGACTTTGATGTGATTACTGGGCCTGATTTATTAACTTCCAACATTATGGCTGGTACTTTGGCCTATGGAAGAATACAGCCTTCAGCATCTGGCTGTCTAAGTCAAATACTACCTGGTCCACTTGCTAGAGATGAGATCTTGGACAAGTCAGGTCAATGACCTGAGTCTTGTCTTCATCATATAGTAACTAAAATGGAATAACAGTACTGACCTTGTACAATAATGTTACAATATCAATAATAATGATATTATTAATGTTAATATTAATATTGGCTTTGCGAGACAGAGTCTCATATGGCCTTGAATTTGCTATGTAGATAATGATCTTGATTTCCTGATCCTCAGGCTTCTATATCCTAAGTGCTGGGATTATGGGCCCATGCTACCAGGCCCAGCTTTTCTTTATTTTTATAAATCTATTTTCTGACAGTTTTATACATGTCTGTAATATCTTCTGATCACACTCATCTTTCCACCCTCTTTTATCTGCCTCCTATTCCCACCAACCATATCTTTTGAGACAGTCTTACTATGTAGCTCAGGCTGGCTATGACCTTGTGATCCTTCTGCCTCTGACTTCTGAGTGCTAGGATTACAGGTACCCTTTCTCAAAAACAAAAATTAAATCAAAACCCAAACCAGCCTAAACTCTTAAATCAAAAACCCCAACCCACAAAATAAAAATCCTCAAACTAAATATACATAAACTGCCTGGCATATAGTTGGAATAAAATCCTCTACCTGTTGTGTGGAATGGAAAGATGAAGAGACAGCCATTGATTTTATGTACTCAAATAATTTTTGTACATTTTCAAAAATTATAATTACATTTTCAAATGTACAAAAATTATTTGAGTACATAGTTCAACTCCTTTTAAGCTAAATCTTCTTTAAAAATCTTTTATCTATGGAAAATATTACTCATTACTTGGGCAATATCTTTCATTCAATTTTTATTTTTAATTTATTTTCTTCTCGTTTTCCATGGTTCTATGTATTGAATTCTGGACTGCATGCTTACCTTCTTCTGCACTAACCTTGCCATCCCACAAAGAAGGCTTTTTTAGGCACACAGAGGTATTGAAACTGCTCTTGGGAGCCTCTGCCATCAGGTGAGTCTACCACCAATGGGAATTTTGTTGCCATGTCTTCTTTCTTCCAGGTGTGTTAATTGATTTTGGTGGTTGTAGTGGTGGTGACAGGGGTAGGACACAAAAGGTATAATGGAGGTCTTACCAATGCCAAGCAATGAGAGAGAGGCTCATTAGATGAAGCATGTTGATAAAACCTAAGATATAAAGAGCAGAGCGTTATTAGAGTTGTCTCTCTTTGGTCTTGGTTACCACTATTAAAGACCCAAATCTTTTCTAAGGTGACTTGCGACCTCAGGCAGTAGGGTGCTAGTAATAGATACCTGCTTTTGGCATAGAATTGTTGTTTTCATGGCCTCCTGGCTCTAAACATATAATCTCAAGTGGAAAGCACACAGTGCCTGAGAAAAGGCCACAGAAAGGGTATGGGAACTGAGATATTGGGGACATCATAAAAATTAGAAATTAGAAGTTGGGTGTGGTAGCTTATGCCTGTCATCCCAGCACTTGGGAGGCAGTAGCAGGTAGATCTCTGTGATTTATGTGATGCCAGCCTGGTCTATAGAGGAGTTCCAGGACAGCCAGATCTGTATAGTGAGACCCTGTCTCAAAATAAGCAAGCAAGCAAGCAAAAAAAAAAAAAAAAAAAAAAAAAAAAGAATTTGAAATTAGAGGATGTTTTAAACCGTGTATGCCGGGGAGGTAAAGGTATTCTAGTCTGAATAGAAAATACTGAGTAATAGCAGAGGCAGAACTTATGATCTTGCATGGAAAGCTGGCCTTATTCACTTTGGTAGCTTAGGGATAAGGAAACTTCAGTAGGACCATACACAACTTCACTAAGTCTTTTCCTGGGGTTGACAATCTATTCTAGTTCTAAGCATTGTGCAAAATGCATGATGCCACCTATCTCAAACCAACAATGACCTCTCTTTATATTTATAAGATCCACATTCCATACTATGATGTTAAAAAGAATTTGCAGATACTATTTGTAGCACTTTTGTATATGTTCTTTGAGAAGAGATACCAAGGGCCTAGCGTTAGATTCTAGGAAGTGCTGACTGAAAAAATCAGATGGTCATGCTCAGCGTGTTTAGACTTGATTAGCTGTTTGGCCTAGAGACTTGTCTCAGTGGTTAGGACAACTTGTTGTTCTAACAGAGGACCCAGGTTCAGTTCCCAGAATCCATATGGTCGGTCACCACCATGTTCTAGGGGGATCTGATGCCATTTTCTGACTTCCATGGGCACCAGGCACACACATGGTACACATACATACAGCATGCATACATACATACTGGCAAAATATTTATACACATAAGGTTAAGTAAATGAATCTGAAAAAAATTTAGACTTGATTAGCAAGCTGATGGCTTGTGAGCAATACAGAAGGGGATCAGTCACTGGGAGCCATCCTGCCAAAGGGAATCACCTGCCAAAGCCCAGGTGTGATTATGAGACTTAAGGACAAGGTGAATACTTTAGCCAAGGTGTGCACTGATTTTTCCCCACGATATCTGTATGGACACAGACAAGAAATGTATAGTAGCACATTATAAGATTCATATATCACTCCAAAAGATAGCTAATTCAAGTTTTGTATCAGCCTGTAGCAACATCTAAGTGTATCACTGGATTTGGTCCTTTTTCAGTCATCACTTTTTTTTCTTTGAGAAAAGGTCTTGTCCTGTAGCTTTATCTGGCCCAGAACTCTTGATCTTTCTGCCTCAGTCTCCCAAGTGCTGGAACTATAGACATGTGCCATCATGCCCAGGCTCCTGAGTCACATTTTTCTCAGTCCTTTGAAAAATTTATACAATCGAATTTTACCACAGTTAGCATTTTCCCTCACTTCTCTCAGATCCATCTCCTCTTCTCAATCCACCCAATTTAGTGTCTTCTTCTTCTTCACCATCTACTGCAGATATAAGCTTCTCTGATGAGGGTTGAGAGATGAACTAATCTATGGGCATTAGTATTATGTCCATTTTACAGGTTTTCCCCTAGGGCCTATCACCTGTTAGGCACAGGTTATTGGCTCCAGTAACAGAGCCCAGTATGGGCTTCAGGTTGTGCATTGGACCTTAAATCCAATCATAAAGTGATTGGTTGTTTCCATAATATTCTTGCCACTATTGCACCAGTGAGCATGTCTTACTATATCGGTTATTAATGTAGCTTTCACGTTCACATCTGGGTAAATCCTGTGATTCATTTTCTCCCCTGGTAGCATGCATAATACCTTTTAGTAGTATGAAAACTACCCATTAGAGATGAAGCTTCCAGGCCAGTACCAATGTGATAGCTCCATGTTTCATGACTGAGGTATGTGGTGACTTCAGCAATAACGTCTTGTTGTCAAGTTCTGAAGAGTAACCCAGAACATTGACAATTATCTCTGGTGTTTAGGGTGATATACGAGACTTCATTGGCCAACAAGTCCAAAAGAGGAAACAACTCCAAAAGGGCCCTGATTTATTAGCATGTGGTGTCTAGCAGAGGCATTGTTGCTTGATTATAGGGTAACTTTAAACACTCTTTTTATGTGTATATGCATATATTTTAGGAAGCTTTAATCCACATTTCAATCAATGGCATGGAGAGAAAATGATTTGGCCAAATTGTGGATAACAAAGGGCTGGGAGAAAGAGCTAATGGTAGATTGCAGAATGAAGACATAGAAAGAATTCTGGACAGACTGGACTAATAAGTCAAAAGAAACAAAATGACATTAAATATGAAGCAAATGCGTGTTGGTTTTACAACAGCAAAAGCCTGCGACAGTGAGCTTTAACTGGATCGCAGTTCTTATAACTAAGACTTGATAGTTATAGTTGACAACAGAGTTAGTAGGAGCCAAAGCTTTGATGTGACTGTTAAACAAAGCTGCCAGGAAAGTCATCTGCTTTGTTGGTATGCAGATCAAAAGAAAGGTTAGCCCCAGAATATGCTGGACCCTGACTTCTGGGACATTTGCTTCCTTGTTTCCTATTGTTTTTAATTGCATTTAAGAATTCATTCTCAGTGTCTCAGCTTTTTGAGACAGGGTTTCTCTGTGTAGCCCTGGCTGTACTGAAACTCACCCTGTAGACCAGGCTGACCTCAAACTCACAGAGATCCTCCCAAGTGCTGGGATTAAAAGTGTGTGCCACTATGCTTGGCTGCACTTGGAAACTATTCATAGGCCTTTTGAGTGCTAGTCTGCTCCAAGTCTTCTCTTTTCA